TCATTTGCCTGGAATAATCTTGTTTCCTGTTCTCTCTTCCACATCTTTTTCAGATTCACTTAATTTTCCAATATACCCAAAACATGGAGTTCTTAATATTGCAAATGTGAAACAAAGACTCTCCTTAAGAATAAACTTGACTATTCTCCACAATTGTAAAACTAACCCTCCTTCTCTCAGTAAATGACACCTAAAAAGTTAGTCTTTCCACATCAATGTTATCAGCAAATCCTGTAGATTTTACTTCCAAAATCAAGATCCAGATGGGATAAAATGTCTTTCTTCTATATTTCCAAGACTCCTTGTATATACATCTATCTTAACATTTGCCATAGTATTTTGAAACTATCTGTTTTACTCATTTTCTTCCTCCTCTATGAGATTCTTGAGGTCCAGTACTTTTCTCATTTTTTGAAGTTCTTAGTACATAATATGTACCCACATATTTATTCAACTAAGTACTTGACTGCTAACCAGAAGGCTGGCAGTTCAAACCCATCAGGCACTCCTTGGGAGGAAGGTTGGGCAATCTATTTCTGTAGTGATAACTGCCTTGGAAACCCAAGGAGGGGCCGCTATGATTTGGGGCTGACTCGATGGCACATAACAACAACAACAGCAAAGTAAAATTTAACTTTTCTTTTAAAAAATTGTAGTTAGTTCCTGGCTACCAATGTCAACCAATTGGAAGGGGATCTATGTAGGAGATCCTGGATAGAGAGGGAGAACAATGTGGACAAAACTCAAAATCATTTGGAGAAAAAAAAAGCAGGGGCAGGTTTACTGGTCTGATAGAGCCTGGTGGAACCACTGAGACTATGGCCCCTAGCTGCCCATCAGGTCTGGAAGTGAACTCACACCTGTGGCTTCCAGCCAAGCAAAAGACAGGCATATGAGTTAAACATTTACCTGAGGTAGATACACTCCTTGGAGAGAACAATCATGGGAGAGAGAAGGGCTGCTTATGCACCGGGAGACAGCTCAGGGGGCAGGAGGATATGGAGGGATGGACACAGGGAAGAGGTAATTATTGGGAGGAAATGGGAGAGGAGCTGTTGCATTGTGGTAAATTGTGGTCAATGTCGTGAGACAAAGTGTATGTGAACTGCTGTATGGAACGTGAATTTTCTCTGTAAATCTTCACTCAAATCACAATTAAAAAATGAAAAATAAATTGTAGTTAGAATTGACCTTATTTTCATTGTTTATAGTCATAGCACCCAATAATCATGCCTAGAAATGACCTCACAGTTAACTCATGTCTTGGTTACAGCATAGTAAATGTACTGGGATGTGATTCAAGATTATTTTGGGTAAATAAACAGATTAAAGACAAGCAAAGGTTTTTTTTTCGTAAGAAGTTAGGATTTTATCATAAAGGTATATATAAGTCAGAAACTGTCAAAGACACAGATTTAAGAGGGTGCGCTAGCTTGACCACTTTGTGGACAGTGAATTGTTTGTGTATTGGGAAATGCAGAGACTACTTCAGAACGTTATTGTAATAGAGTAAGAGTTGATATAGGTCTGAAGTAGGCTGATGAAGAAAGATCAGTGAATTTGAGTTTGATTTTGGAAGTAAAATCTATAGGATTTGCTGATAAAATTGATGTGGAAAGACTAACTTTTTTAGGTGTCATTTACTGAGAGAAGGAGGGTTAGTTTTACAGGAAGTATATTTCTCGTAGCAAACAAGATATTGGGTTTAAGTGAGCCAAGCTTGTAAAATACCTGTAATCCTTCCAAGTAAGATTAAAAATTGAGAGTTATCAGCATAGTGATTGTAATTAAAACCATAACACTGAATCATTTAAAGAGAGAAAGGAGAGAGAGATGGGAAGGAAACCCAGTATCAAGTCCTCATGAACCCCACATTAAAGAGATTTGGCAGAGAAGGAATGGCCAGCAAATGAAACTGAGAAAGTGACTCAAAACAGGTAGGAAGAGTAACAGAAGAGCTTTGTGTTATAGAATCTGGGGTGAGGGAAGAGAGTAGTTTCAAGAAGAAAAAATGATCTACTGTGGTAAATGCTATTGAGAGTTCAAGTAAGATTAGAATAGAAAAAAAGTATCCTTTCTTCACCAAATGTGTGCAGTTAATATACATAATAAAGTTGAGCCTCTGTCCTCAAAAAGTTCTCAGTTTCACTGAGGAGGCCAGGTTTACATGCATTAAAATATTCAGCCCTGAAAACAAGGAACTGATCAGGGTCACAATAGATGGACCTGGATAAAATGGGAGAAAGATGTGTAACAGACTCAAAATCTTAAAAACTCCTGCCTTACTGGACCAGTTGAGACTGGAGGAGTCCCTGAGATTATCCTCTTTACTTGCTCTTCAGACCTTGAACTGAAACCATCCTGAGATCACATTTTAGAGAAATAATAGATTGGCACACAAAATAAAAGATATTAGCTGTAAGTACAAGGCTCCATTATAAAAACGTCTATATGAGACCAAAAGGTCAACAATTACTCTAAAGCAAAGATAAGAAGACAAGGGGGATGATGGAAAACTAGAGCAATGGAAATGGAACAAGAATGCAGTTACGTATTTTCACTCAAATAATGTGAGTCTTCTACTTTTTTTTTTTTTCCCAACTGCTCCCTCCCCCCCCCAGGTATTTTTGTAAGCATGCTATGTTAATTTTGTACAACAACATATTTTAAAAAAATGGCAAATAAACAGAAGGCAGGTGCACAATATTTGCCTAAAAATACTGTAGTGAAAATGTTGACACTTTGTGAAAATGTTACAAATGTCACTGAATAACTTGTGTAGAAATTGCCAAATGGGAACCTAATTTTCTGTGTAAACTTTCACTGAAAACACAAAAAGATTTTATCTAAAAAAAAAAAAAAATCAGGAGCAATCATATTGTATTGGTCACTTACTGGTATTGTGTTTTCTACCCTTGGACTTTCATTCTTGGTCAGCTTTTTCCCATCCCATAGTTCATGCATAAAATCAAGTAACACAAAAGTACCTTTTCCAGTCATTGCTCTACATGACTATTCATCATCTCTAGACCTGAAACTGGCTTTTTTCCTTGTGTATCTCCAATGCCTTGCTTTGGACACAAACTCTTATTACATACCCTTGGACACTTTGACTTTGATTTCCTACTTATCTCTACAGTTGCTTACTTTTCTAATGTTGATACTCCTGTGGCTTTTAGTGAAACTCCTGGTATTCATTCCTCTCCCATGGCCTGTATGGATCACAGTCCCTGCCCTCCTTTGTGACCACCTTAACTTCCACACAATTTTTATCATTAGATTTGGCACTTTGACATGTAAATATATTAAGGGAATCTTTTATTAAAAAGGGTAAAATCCTTGTATTAGAGTTGCATTTGTGGTTGGCTGGCAGCTATTGAATCAGCCCTCAAATCACGCAATGGCATTTGTTACAGAGTAGAACTGCTCCATAGGGTTTTCTTGGCTGTAATCTTTATGGAAACAGTTTGCCAGGCATTTCTCCCAGGGAGCCATGAGATAGGTTGAAATTGCCAACCTTTAGATTAGCAACTGGCCACAAACTCCTTGCACCAACCAGGCTTCTTAGATTAGAATTAGCAGGATGTGATTTAAATAGGTAGAGGGAGGAACAGTTAAACATGAAAAACAACTTTTCTTAAGATTAACAAGTATAACTTTTTAACCCATATTCATCCTGATCCTGATTTCATCAGCAGGTTTTTTAAAAAAATAAATACATGAACAAAAATGTGATTCAAGTTATTGTTATTAGTTAAACCAAACCAAACTCACTGCCGTTGAGTCAATCTGATTCCTAGCGACCCCTCCTTGGGTTTCTGAGGCAGTATCACTGTGGAAGTAGATTGCCCAACCTTCCTTCCAAGGAGTGGCTGGTGGGTTTGAACCACCAGGCTTCTGGTTAGCAATAGGTTATGTTAAAAGAATAGACCCAGAAATATATATTGACTCAAATATAATTGCCATTTATTTCGGTTTCCATAAGAGTCCAAGATGGGTAATCCTGGTCAGTAAGTCATTTTTCAAGCAGTGATTCAGAGTCATGCGCCTTCTACCTTGTAGATATTCTAGAGCCTCAGCCTCATCTCTATGTAATGGTGAGAAGAGACAATGTGGAGGAAGCATATTTGTTTCTTAAAAGCCTTAGACCAGAAGTAACATATATTACTTCTACTTATACTCCAGTGGAGAAACTTAGTCACATGGCCACAAGCAATAACACAGGAGGTTGAGATGACATGTGTTTGTACATCCAAAGTAGGGAAAATCAATTTTAGCCATGTTGTTGTTGTTATGTACTGTTGAGTCGGCCCCAACTCATAGCGACCCCTCCTTGGGTTTGTTTCCAAGGCAGTATCACTACAGAAGTAGATTGCCCAACCTTCCCATAGTTACTTAAAAAAGGTAAAACTGATTACAAAATCCTTTGCAAATATGAGATAAAATAACTATATGAAAAAAATAATATATATGACTTAAGTACTATGTATGAGATAAGATGCCACTATTGAGTCATGGTAAGAAATAATAGAGATAACGCAGGGAATATAGGAACTAGGTATAATGCATTTCTGTGTTTAAAAGTTTCAATAGTGACTTTCTCCCCCCAAAAAAATCTGTTTTCACAATCTGAGAAGCAATATGAATTGGAAAAAAAAAAAAATGCTTCTTAAGAAAGCAAATAACAGGATTTCAATTGGCTTTATTAATGTTGTTATTTTTTAAAAAATGGCATAGAAAATAATCTATGCTTATTTATATTAACTATGTTAATTCATAGGAGCTCTGGTGGTGTAGTGCCTAAGGCATTTGACTACTAACCAGAAGGTTGGTGGTTCAAACCCACCAGCCACTCCTAGGAAGAAAGACTGGGCAAGCATCTCTACTTGTGTAGAGATACAGGAAAACCAAGGAGGGGTCACTGTGAGTGGGTCACTCACTCATCATCAGTGAGTTTGGCTTTTGGATGCTAATTCATATTTCTCTGCTGTATGATGCAGGTCAGAAGGAATCTGAAGATGAAATTGAGGATGAAGTATTGGATGCCAGCTTTAGAATAACAGTGTCTAAACTACCCATACTTTCTTCAGATTCATCAAAGGATGCTGCAGTACTGAAAGAACAAAAACAAGATCTTTTTCCTACATATGGCCAGCCATTATCTGCCATTCATCAAAAACCAATAATTAAAAGTGACACATTGTCAGAGAGGAATGCAAAAAAAGAGTTTTATATAACACAAAGAAGTGGTATAAAACTCCAAGTACTTTGTGATATTGATAGATATTACTCAGAACAAAAGAAATACGAAAGCTATAAAAAAAAAGTAGCAGCTGTAGCCACGGCACAAGAAGACAAAGCTACAACTACACAAGCTGTCAAAGAAAGTGTACGTAAGAAAAAATATGCTGTACAACAACGAAATGAAAAAGATACTGAGGCAATTCAGAACAGTTTACAACAACGTTGGCAGGACAGATCCAACTACATTGAAAAAGTCAGAGAGAGGAGAATTCGATTTCTAGAAGAAAAGAAGAAAAAGTCTGCAGATCGCTTAATAATTCAAGAATTAAGTAATGAGCGCACTCTTTTCACACAAGGAATGATTAAAGTCGACAAATTGAGGAAGAATGAGGCTATTTTAAAAGAGAAAAGCCACATTGTTCAGCAAAAATTACTAATAGAAAAATATCAGAAAGAGTTGCTTAAACAAATGAAGGAAATTAGGTAGGTACAGTTTCAATACAGTAGAAGTTTTTATGTTATTATATGCAAATACTGCATAGTAAGTTGAGTGGTAACAAAGAGTGTCTCACAACATAATATAATCTAGTTTGGAAAAAGGAAGCAAAGAATATGTAATATGATACATATTGATATATTAATATGTGTTGCATATTAATATATTAGGAAAGATTATATGACAAATCAACTTTATCTCTCCCCAACCCCATCCTCATGCAAGATTCTTAATGAATGTTCTTATTGTAGAAAATGACATCATCATAAGCCTCTGTATCAGTGCTAGAAACCTCAGTCTTTTACAACTCAATCTCCCTCATTAATAACATTGAATATTCTCCCCTATCCTATTCATTTTATTTCTGTCCTTCCTTTTCCATCCCACCTCTCCTAATGTAATATGGTGGTTGTTAGGTATTGTAGAGTCAGCTCCATCTCATAGAGACCCTACATACAACAGAAAGAAATACTGCACAATCCTGGGCCATCCTCACAATCCTTGCTATACTTGAGCCCCTTATTGCAGCCACTGTGTTAATCTCATTGAGAGTCTTCCTCTTCTTTGTTGACCCTCTACATTACTAAGCATGATATCCTTCTCCAGGGAATGGTCCCTTCTGACAACATAACAAATATAGGTGAGACAAAGTCTGGCCATTCTCACCTGCAAGGAGCATTCTAGCTGTACTTCTTCTGGGACATATTTGTTCATTCTTCTGACAGTCCATGGTATTGTCACTATTAGCCCACACCATAATTTAATGGAATTAACTCTTCTTTGGTCTTCCTTGTTAATCATCCAGCTTTCACATGCATATGAAGCTATTGAAGGTAACATGGCCTAGGTCAGGTAAACTTTAGTCTTCAAAGTAACATCATTGCTTCTTAACACTTACAGTCTTTTGCAGAAGATCTTCCCAGTGCAGTATGATGTCTAATTTCCTGACTGCTGCTTCCATGGATGTTGACTGTGGACCCAAGTAAAATGAAATCCCTGACAACTTCAGCCTTTTTTCTGTTTATCATCATGTTGCTTACTGGTCCAGTCATGAGGATTTTCATTTTCTTTATGTTGAGGTATAATCCATACTGAAGAGTATAGTCTTTGATCTTTATCAGTAAGTGTTTCACATCATATTCACTTTTATCAAGCAAGGTTGTATCATCTGCATCCTCCAATCCTGACACCACATTCTTCTTCATAAAGTCCATCTACTCTGATTATTTGCTCAGGATACAGACTGAATAAGTATGGTGAAAGGATACATCCCTGATGTACTCTCTTCCTGATTTTAAACCATGAAGAATCACTTTATTCTGTTTGAATGACAGTCTCCTAGTCTATGTGGAGTTTCCTCATGAGAACAATTAAAGTATTCTGGAATTCTAATTTGTTGCAACATTATCTATAATCAATTATAATCTGCACAGTTGATTATTTTTGCATAGATAATGAAACACAGGTAGATATCTTTCGGATATTCATTGCTTTCAGCTAAGATCCATCTGACGTCAACAGTGAGGTTCCTCATTCCACGTCCTCTTCAGAATCCAGCTTGCATTTCTGGCAGTTTTCTGTCAATATACTGCTGCAACTGTTTTTGATGATCTTCAGTAAGTTTTTATTTGCATGTGAAATTAATGATACTGTTCTATAATATCCATATTCTGTTGGATCACCTTTCTTTGGAATGGATAGAAATCATGATCTCTTCCTGTTAGTTGGCCAGGTAGCTGTCTTCCAAATTTATTGCCATAAATGAGTAAGTGCCTCCAGCACTGCATCCATTTGTTGAAACATCTTAATGGGTATTTATCAATTCCTGGAGCCTTGTTTTTCACCAATTCCTTTAGTGAAGCTTTGACTTCTTTCTTCAGTACCCTTGGTTCTTGATCCTATGCTACCTCTTGAAATAGTTGGACACTGAACAGTTCTTTTTGATAGAGTGACTCTGTCTATTCCCTCCATCTTCGTTTGATGCTTCCTACATCCTTCTATATTTTGCCCATAGAATCCTCTTCAGTATTGCAACTCATGGATTAAATTTTTACTTGAGTTCTTTCAGCTTGAACAATGCTCAGCATATTCTTCCCTTTTCATTTTCTAACTCTAGGTTGTTTGCACATTTCATTATAATACTTTACTTTGTCTTCTTGAACTGCCTTTTGAAGTATACTGTTCATTTCTTTCATTTCAGCATTTCTTCAATATGCTTTAGCTACTCTCCATCGAAGAGCAAGTTTCAGAGTCTTTCCTGACATCCGTTTTGGCCTTTTCTTCTTTTCTTGTCTTTTTAATGACCTTTTCCTTTCTTCATATATGATGTTCTTAATGTTATACACAACTTGACTCATCTTCAGTCATTAGTGTTCAGTGAATCAAATCAGTTCTTCAGATGGTCTCTAAATTCAGTTGAGATATGATCAAAGTTGTATTTTGGTTGTCATGGACTTATTTTAATTTTCTTTAGCTTCAACTTGAACTTGCATATGAGTAATTGATGGTCTATTCCACAGTCAGCTTCTGGCATTATACTGACACCTCTTTCCACAGACATAGTGGTTCTGAGGTCTGTGTATTCCATTTTTCAAGGTCTACATATATAGCTGGTGTTTCTATTGTTGAAAAAAGAAGGTATCTGTAATGAATAAGTCATTGGTCTTGAAAAATTCTATCATGCAATCTGCAGCATCACTTCTATCACCAAGGCCATATTTTTCCAACTACTGATGATTCTTTGTTTCCAGCGTTAGCATTCCAATCACCAATAATTATCAATGCATCCTGATTGCATGTTTGTTCAATTTCAGACTGCAGATGTTGGTAAAAATCTTCAATTTCTTTGTCTTTGTCTTTAGTACTTGGTGTGTAAATTTGAATAATAGTAGTAACAAATCTTCCTAGTAGGTGTATGGATATACCCTATCACTGCCAGCATTGTACTTCAGGATAGATCTTGAGATGTTCTTTTTGACAATGAATGCAACACCATTCCACTTCAGTTTGTCATTCATGACATAGTAGATCATATGACTGTCTGATTCAAAATGACCAATACTAGTCCATTTCAGCTCACTAATGCCTAGGATATTGATCTTTATCCATTCCATTTCATTTTCGACAACATCCAATTTTCCTAGATTCATACTTCATACATTCCATGTTCTGATTATTAATGAATGTTTGCAGCTGTTTCTTCCCATGTGGAGTTGTGCTCCATCAACAAATGAAGGTCCTGATAGTTTTACTCAATCCATGTCATTAAGGTCGACTTTCCTTTGAAGAGGCAGCTCTTCCCCAGTCATGTTTTGAGTGCTTCCAACCTGAGAAGCTCATCTTCTGGGACTATATCAGATAATAATTCACATCTCCTCATGAAGTTTTCCAGTAATATATCCAACAGTGTTTCATTGCTATTCATAAGGTTTTCCAGTGGCCTGTTTTTTTTTTTTTTTTTTTGTTTGTTTCTTTATTTTTTAAATTAATCCTTCTTCCCAGTCTATCTGCATCTGAAAGTGCCACTGAAACCTGTCCACCATGGGTGACCCTGCTAGTATTTGAAATACCAGTGGCATGGCCTCCAGCCTCACAGCAACATGCAAGCCACCACAGCACAACAAACTGACAAACTGGTGGGCTGTAATTTAGGCTCTCATAATTGCTCACAGTACCCTTACTACTGAGATCTTCATATCCATTCTCCATCATTTCCTCAATCCATGTTGTGTTGTTGTTATGTGCCATCGAGTTGGACAACCCCTTCTTGGGTTTCCAAGGCAGTGTTACTACGGAACCCCTCCTTGGGTTTCCAAGGCAGTGTTACTACGGAAGTAGATTGCCCAATCCATAGCCTTTTAAAATAAAGGTCTGATCATGCCATTTCCACTTAAATGTGTTGATAGCTTGCAGTTCCCCTCAGAATAAAATCTACTGTTCTCTGACTGGTATTTTGGATACCATGGTCAGTTGCAGTCTATCTTTTTAGACTCCTATCACACCATTTATTTCCCCCTAAAACCTCCTTCTTCTTCCCCTAATAGCACTGTCTCTTTCAGAGACCAGCTGAAATATTCACCACTCCCTAACCAAGCTAGGGTATTTTCAGTTGCCTTATATACATGCAAAAGCTGGATAATGAATAAGGAAGATCCAAGAAGAATTGTAGTATTTGACTTATGGTGTTGGCAATGAATGTTTAATAGACCATGGACTCTCAGAAGGAACAAATCTTCCTTATAAGAAGTACATCTAGAATACTCCTTATAAGTGATGGCAAGACTTCAGCTTAGTACTTTAGACATGTTATCAAGAGGGATGAGTCCCTGAAGAAAGACATCAAAAGAGATGTAAAGATATGTGGTAAAGTGGTAGGTCAGCAAAAAAAGAGGAAGACCTCAATCAGATGGATTGATCCAAGGGCTGCAATGATAGGCTTACACATATCAGCAGTTGAGGATGATAGAGGAGCCACAGGACCAGGCAGTGTTCATTCTGTTGTACATCAGGTCACTATGAGTTGGAACTGACTTGATGGTGTCTAACAATACCATCCATCTTTACACTTTCTTGTCTCAATGGCTGAACTGATACTATCCCTTTTTCAGGAGCTCTGGTGGTGTAGTGCCTAAGGCATTTGACTGCTAACCAGAAGGCTGGCGGTTCAAACCCAGCTACCACTCCTTGGAAGGAAGGTTGGGCAATATACTTCTGTAGTGATACTGCCTTGGAAACCCAAGGAGGGGTTGCTATGAGTCGGATCTGACTCGATGGCAGTGAGTTTGGTTTTGTTTTTGGATCCCCTTTTTCTTCAAATATAAACTCCACCAGGGCATACATGACTATATTACTGTTATTTTCCTCATATCATTATGCTATACAAGCCTCTATATTACTGTGTAAATTAGAATGCCCTTGGGTATTCACATTGGTAAGGAATTGGTGACTTTATGTGAAGGAGAGGCCCTTTCCTCTTGAGGGAGACATG